TGGCGCAGTGAAACATTAGAGTAATTGTTTCTCCCAGTGTTTATCGCATCATCCTACATCCCAGTCTGATGACTGAGGTGCCAGAGACACCCTCTTCAGCTGGATTGCCCCTTCCTCTTAGACTCTTCTGTCTTTAAATCAAGAGCTCAACAGACAGTATTAACAACAAAGAAAAAAAAAGAGCTGCCTGAACTTTCTGTGCCATTTGAAGATGGGGGGAAGTGATGCCTTTATTAGAGCACAAAAATACCAATACCGTGGAGCTTTCTCACTAATTAAAGCTACCCAATTTGACTTCTGTTTATTTTACTTCTACCTAGCTTTGCCTTTAAAGATCTCTCCTTTCTTGTTCATTTAAAGAAAAGGAAAAAAAACATGGTATGGTCTTTACACAATACAAAGGGTAGCTGACATATTTGCTGGATCTCTCCCCCCCAAACACACACACACCAAAATATATGAGCCTTTGACCCATACCAATTGTCGTCAGGTTGGGCTTCTCTGTGTTGTGGATGGTGCAGGAAAAAAGCATACAAAGGTTCCCAAAGCCGTGGCAGATGTCGGTGCCAGGTCTTTTTCTCAAATCTCAGCTGAGCACAGTTGCAAGGCGAAGAAAGCAGCTTCTTCCAGCTACTAAGATATATTATTTATTTGGCTACAATTGGCTTCACCATGTGGGTAGACTGAATCTTACCCCTAATTCTCTGATACGGGGTTTGCCGCATTTCTGTGTAGCCCCATTCCCTGGCCGAGAAAGAACGGGCAGTGGGGGAGGAAGACATGCCGAATGCCTGGCCTCCCTTTGTTTCCTGAGTTGGAGAGGGAATCCAACCAAAGGACCCCCAGGGGTGGAATTTGAAACCTACATTCCTGACTTGTGTTTGCAGCCTGAATTTTGGAACTATTTTTTTAAAGAAACATCTGGCCTGGACGTCTGCCATGACTTTTGGAACTTTGATCAAATGTCTGAGAAAGTGGACTTAATCCATTCTATCTTGCATTAAAATACACCAATTAGTCTTTATTAATTATTATTTAAAATATTTTTATCTTGCATTTCTGTTTGAAAAGGATGCATGGCAGCTTATAACAATGAAAGACACAGAGTTGAAAATACAGTACAGTAATGAGTATATAATGGTGGCTAACACAATGTTAAGGCACCAGAATGTGGGGTTTTTTGCTTGGTTTTTATTTTTTGAAGAGTTTTCTCTTTTTTTTTCTTGGTCTGGTGAAATGCCAGCTGTAATTTGCTATGGAAAGCAACCAAAACATAGGAACAATTCTGAGAGAAAGAGATAGGAAGGTAAGTGTTCCCAAATACACAGATAAACCACTGTAGGCTAGTGCCATCCACCAGTGTGATTAAAATTCTCAGGATACCCAAACAGAATGGCCAGATCTGAGAAACAATGTGTTTGATTACAGTTTCCATCGTCCCCAGCTGGTCCAACATATCTTGAGGGCAAGCACCAAGTCAAGGGCTGAAAGACTAATTTTTTGTTTTAGCGTTCTGCTTTAAGAAACCCATTCAGTGTTAACTCAGGAACCAAGGATCTCTCATACATTGCAGAAAACTATGGGTGTGTTCTCCAAAACACACTCCATTTACAAGGGATGCTGCCCAGGCTTGTTTTCTATACCATTGCCTTAGCTGTTGGAAAGTAATCCCTGAATGCATAAAGGAAGTCATACGCTACACATTGTATTATAAGCTTTTGTGGGCAGGAGCCCACTTGTCAGTTTCATAATATAATCCCTTAAAAAGGCAAGTGTGTATGTTTGCAAAAGTAGAGAAGAGCTTTTTAAAATCTTAACCATCCCTAAAACAGGAATGGCCCAATGCCTAAGCACATAAGAAAACCAAGACTCGCTACGTCATATGCTACACAAAGCAAATGCTGTACTCAAGAACTGGGATCATATCTCATGAACAGCTTCTTTAGAATCAGTGCTAGTTCTAATGCATTTCTAAGGGCCTAAATAGAAATCAAAGCTTCTTAGCACACTGTACTTTCTACTAACCCAGCTTTCTGCAAATTTTAATGGGTATAAAATGGTTGTTCCCCTTAATAGACTCTGATCTCCATCTTGGAAACAACCCTGTGGCAACCAAGCCTTCCAGGCACACAGCTGGTGAGTATGGCTGGGACCTGCTGCTTCAAGTAATTAATAGTTTGATGGTCTCATTTCTGTTAATCAACCATCATCACTTTGCTTCCTACTTGTAGCTTCACCTGGTTATAAAATCTGTCATCATGGTTATGGCCGAAAAAGTGGACTCTGAGTCACAAAAGCTCGCCCTTAAATAAATCTGTTAAGTCTTTTCTCCCCTTTAATTTTCATAACATGCTGAGACCATCTAACATGGCTGTTTCTTTGGAAATTTTTTTGGCTTTGTTAGCATGCCCTCCATATGAATGCTGTTTGTACTGCTGGCCAAAACCTGCTTTCAAAAGTGTTTATCTTTTGATTTCTTTTCTGCCAGTTTTTTTTTCTGATTTCAAATACAAGGGAAGGTGGGCACATCAGAAATTCCTTTTTCTGAGACAACACAGTGCCTTTTTTCAAGGTGCCTCCAAGGCCTTCACGTGTGGATTATAGAGTTGGCTTGCCAGGTATGTGTCAGCAAGATTTGAAGAGAAATAAGAGATGTAAAACAAAGCAAAATGTGCAGCTCGTATACCGCCCCAAAGCACTTAAACCACTCTATGGGTAGTTTGCATTTCAATTAGACAGCCTACACATTGGCCCCCAAAGTGAGCTGGGTACCAAGTTTATCAGCCTCAGAAGGATGGAACGCCGAGTCAGCCTTGAGCTTGCTACTGAATCTTTTGGGATTGAGTCCACTGGGATCAAATTCAGGTAGTGAGTAGAGTGTTGACTGCAGTACTGCAGTTTAAACACCAGTCCTTAACTACATCGATGGCTGAAGATGAGATTTTTTTTCCCTTTTAAAATACATTAATTAAAAGCAGGGTGAGAAAATGTTGACCCTTTGCTGTTTTAGACTCTCCTAATCAATGACTGCTGGCACTCCTGGGTGGAGCTGAATACAGGTGAAGTCTAGAACATCTGTAGAAACATCTAGTTCTCTGCTCATTCCCCATTTAAACCTGCCCAAGGGAGAAGCACTAGCATTGCACAAATTATTGCACCAGAAAATGTCTCCCCCCGCCTCCGGGGGCATTTTAATCTGGTGAAATATAAAAACCAACGAGTTTTGTAAATCTGCTCTCATATACTCAAGGAGAGAGGTTGAGAGCTGGTGGCCAAAGCTCTAGCCGCACCATGCTCTGTCTCTTGTTTTTTTGAGTAAGCCACCTGTTCTTGGACTACAGTTCCCAGAAGCCTTCACCACCAGCTGTGCTGATCAGGGTTTCTTGGGGTTGCAATCCAAGAACACCTGGGTTATCCAAGGTTGGGAACCACTGCCTTAAATTCAAGCAAAGTGGCAAGTCTGAAACAGACGTACCCAGGGAATGTGAAGGTTTAGTTTATGTGGACAGCCCCCACCCCCAAAGGAGGCTGTCTTGCTTACTCCTTGACCTCCCTGTGTTCAAGGCAATGAAAGTAATTATGTAGGAATAGTGGAGTGCTCCCCCTGGATGCACGGGGAGTATGCTCTCATATTAATGCCTTTGTATATGTGTAAAAAAAATTCTGGAAGAACCAGCCTTACCTCTCCTATTAGTTAAGAGACAAGGACCCACTCACAAAAATGTTCTCTGCCATGTCATGGTGGGGAACTTGGAAAAAAACATGTTCCTTTCTGTATATTCCAGACAATATTCAGTTTTTGATAGGCAGGAACAAGGGTTCACCTAACAGATTTGTATTTGCTAAGCCCATTTGATAACTGGGGGTTTGAACTCCACTGAGACATGGCCAGATCCACTGTTAAGCAGACTAAAATGGCCATCTCAGACACAGTCCCAAGATGCTGGTAAGCACAACTGTGTATCTTGCTCAGCCTGGCCTGAGTAGGCAAAGCTAACCTGCTGCTTTCAGACCTCTGGAGGACTTCTCCCATCATAAGTATTGATTGCCAGGCCAAGATCCTGGAAGCAGGGGGAAGGCTAAGGTAACATCGTTCTCTACTCTTCTGGTATCAATGAACAAACAAAAATGAAAATTCACTATTTAATTCACTATTTAAATTCCAGTTGGTGCCTGCCACATTCATTATACAAAATCCATGGACTGCATGGGTAATTGTCAGGAACAACAGCTCTAGTCCAAACCATTTGGAGGGCAACCAGTTGCCAACTCCTGTGCTTTACCTGTCACAGTTGGGGGGGGGGGGAGACAAGCTTCTGCAGCCTGGCCAGCAGTGAGGGGTAAAGGGAGTGGTAGTTCACTGAAATGTGTAAGGCCCCAAGTTCCCTTCTATTTCTTGATCCGGATGTACAAATTCATTCAAGTGGCCTGGTTTACAAACCTCATACACGTTTGCAGCAGTATTTTGTTTCTCCCAAGAGGAAACTGAGCTTGTCAGTAGGAATGTGGTGGATACACACCCAGTTTTGTCTTGCTTCAAGGTGCTGCTGCCCAAAATGTCCAACAAAGTTGTGCATGCAGATCTCAGCTAGGATTGTTTTTCCAGCCACTTAACATGGCATTTTGGCCCTGGGCAGGTGCCTTGAAATGACATGAGTGACAGAGTGATGCTAAATTAAGATGCTAGACTGGAACTTTGGAAATCCAAGTTTAATTTCCCAGGGAGCCATGAGATCCAGTGCATGACCCTGGGCTAGTCACACTTTCTCAAACCACCTATTTCCCAGAGCTGTTGTGAGGAAAATGTGGGGGAAATGAAGAGAGCCACAGATACTGCCTTGAGCTCATTTTCACTGCAATGCAAGATCTTGAGAAAATTGCAATGTTACCTGCAAAGCAGGTTCATAACCAGAGTGACTGAAGCCAGATCCTTCACATGGGCACAGAGATAATCCAGTGCCAACTTTCTCCCAATACAATCATGGTACTGATACACCATAAATAGATAAAGTCAGGTTTATTGATCACTTCTGAAAAGACTGCAGCCATGATACACAAAAGTAGAGGGTTCTGGGAAGTGTAAGGATGCAGCCCCACCTACAGTTCACTGTGGCACATTCTCATCCTGGTTTCATAAAAGGCGAGATGAGGCCAGTCATAGAGTCCATTGGAAAAAATTAAAAAGATCCACATTGACATCACCAAATGAGGAGTGATCTGTCAGGGAGTGCCCAGGGGAATAGTGAAGGAGAGGTAGTCACCAACCTCACCCCATTCTGCCCTGCGTGCCTGGAAGATGCTGATCCACGTGGTGAGCACAATCACCCAGAAAACAAGACCCACGGCTGAACGCTGGACATCTGCAGTGAAAACAAAGTGGAAACAAGTGATCAGGAAAAGCCAAGAATTTCCTTTCCGGCACAGTAATGGTCCTTCTTCTTAAGATCACTGTACCTCATGTAGATTAAGTTGTCTGCTCTGACCAGCCACTGCCCAAGCCAACTACAGTACTAGCAAGCAGTCCACCATATACTCTACCCCTTAACACTTACAGCGTTTGATCTGTATCTGTTCAGTATATGCTGGCACCATAAAAGCCTCTCGGAAAAACCAGAAAACATTCACCAGCCACAGGAAAGGAAGAAGAGCAAAGCCACCTGGAGAGAGATGAGAGAAAGGAATTATTTGTGGCCCTATCAGCATTTGATTCTAAGTGAGGATGCAATGTCTTTTCTGGCTTTTTAAAGGTATGCTGCAACACCATAATAGATCTATAGCACCTAAGAGTGCCATTCTCCTTATTAGTTTTCCCATGCCAATTTCTACAAACATGTCACTAATTTGTGATTCTCTTATACATCTGCACTAGGTAGGGGTCTCTTGTTTTTATGGTTTTGCAATCTCTTAACTTTCTAGAATTGCCAACAAACTCATCAATTAACTAAAGGCTCAATCTATGAGATTTAATTGACAAAGCAATTAAAAGAGTAACAACTTGATTAAGTAGAAACAGGGGCTTTATCTGGGTTGATACTTTTTCTTTTAATAGTGTTTTTCAATTGGGTTTTAAAATTGTTACACCTGTCTTACATTTTAGGTTTTAATTGTATTTGCTTTACTTTGTTTTATTGTAAGCTGCCTTGCATCCCAATATTGGGAAGAAGAGATGTAAATCAAATGAACACTCCAATTTCTTTCAGTTAGTCACACTCACTAGCAAACATGTTACAGAAAGAATCCACACACTCTATGCACCTGGATAAAGCAGTAAGAGAAAATCAAACCAGAGCTTCATTTTCATTTTACTTATTCTTACATTCTATGACTATGCTCTATCATACAAATAACTGATGGTTTAATTTTTAAAAATAGAAAACAGATTGGATCCTGACAGCAGCTTGAAATAAAACAAAGTGTTATTTGCATTATTGTGTTGTAAACCGCCCCATGAGTGCTTTAGCATTAGAGGGTGGTAAATAAATCAAAACAACACCAACAACTCTCCCAAAGACATTTACAACTGTGGTAGTCAGTGCTGGGCAAAGTGTGGCCCATGGACCATACATACACCTCAGAGGCAGCCCCCTTTTGTGCCTCAGCATTTTCAAACCAGCCCCTATATTTCCTAATCTGAAAGATATTTTGTGCTTTGACACAAAAAAACCCTCCATCCTCCTGAGTGGCCTAGCCAGGAAGAGCACAGAGGACCTTCTCAGTGTGGTCTTGCAAGTCCAGATATCCAGGAAAGTTGTTCAGAAACAAGCTTTTTCAAGAGTTAAATATGGAGTATCGAAACACGCAACTGGGGCACTTTGTTGTCTTTTCAGTATCGATTTCAGGACCACTCTTTCTGCTGACTTCACATGTTTCAAGCATTTATTTATTTTTTATTATTCCAGTGTCCATTTTAGCCTCTCCAATTCTTTTAAGTTCATTGCTACTCTTGTTATACTGTACTGTAATAATTGGACCTTCATTTTCCTGCACCGCCCATCAGAGAGCTCCGGTGTCTACAACAGAGCAAGCCCTCTTTTCACAAAGGAACAAACAGCCCTCTAACCGCTACACCACACTGCTTGTCCTTGAAATACGGGGCCGCCACCACTCACCCAAGTAGTATTTCCTACAGAGGTTGAGCTTCTCCTCGTTAGAGACGCGCTCCAGGTTCATGGTGCAGAGTGATGCCTCCCACGCCAGACCTCAGACCTCGAATTCACCAGCGCACTGGAAACCACAAGAGAACGTGTGAATGGTAGGAAGTGGCCAAATTTAGGTGAGACCCTTCCTCTTTCAGATATTCTTCTCCCTCGCTACCTCCAGGGAGGAGAAAAACACGCTACGGGGCTCATCATCTGTAGAAACTCACCCCTCTGTGGCAGGCTACTTCCTCAAAGGCAGCCCTCGCCCTGCAACAGAGGATCCTGGGATTTGTAGTTACCCGGCGCCCCGTGGGCTGCCGGGAAACGGAGTGGCTTCCACACCATAGACCCAAGAAAGGGTAGAGGTCTCCTACCAATACCTGAAGTCTGGATCTCCTCATATTTTGTTTTTCTCTTCCTCCCCATTAGTAGCAAGAGAGGAGTAAGCCTAAGCTATAAAAAGCAAGGGAGGAAACCAGAACTTTTATAGAGTTAGCTGTAATTTGGGGCTACAGCCGTGTATCTGCGTCCGCTCCACCCTGCCGAAAAGTAGCAGCGAAAAGAGAAGCCTTAACAGTTTTTAAAGTGCGAAAGGCTGCGATGCCAGTACGGACCCTTATTTCCTCTGAGGAAGTTTTTTTCTGGCGGGGAGGGTGCTTGTGACGGACGTCTGAGGACAGCCCCGCGGTGTAGACCACGCCAGCGAACGGGGAGGGGAAGGGGGCTTCCACGCCGCACTCTCACGGGCAGGAAAACTCGCTTCCTCGGGGTTACGGCCGAAGAGCACCAGGCGCGTCGCCCGCCCCCCTCCCGGCTCAAACACCGGGCTCCTCGCGAAACCCGCCGGCTGGTATCCGGACGAGATGTGGCGCGTGTGGTGCCCTTCCCTCAGTTTTGAAAAATCTGCCCCGCCTCTCTCGAATCCGTTTGTGCTGCAAACAGTGAAGGACTGGGTTACAGAAATCTCTCGGCGTTGCTGCGATTTCCTGTTTGAAAAGGAAGAAGCGGTTGCTCGGGAAACGTCCCCAGTTTCCTCAGTGTTTGCTACGGACGGTTGTT